CTAATTTTTCTCTCCAGCTGTTTACGAAAAGTGCGCAGATTACTATTATTGCCTCCCCGTTTTACGGAATAACGCATTATTCTTTCCTGACATCCAAGTACAATTTTATATTTTACTTTCCGAGCCCAGCAATGATGATATCGTTACATCCAACGTACACTGCAGGGATGTACACTAGCACAAGATAATATGCTTATATATTATCTTCTAAGACTGAGTGTGTCAGTCGACAAATTATTCGCTCGCATAATGATTTCTAAGTACTCACTGACACAATGCAGCTACATTTTTTTCTAGAAAACCAGTGCTCCTCGCTTAGAATTAGCGGATAGTATCTGTACCACGCGCAGAGCTCGGTGTGATATTGCGCTCGTCATTGTTGACGATAGGTAGGGATTGCCGTTTCTAGAACTGAAACTATCGATGTCAGGTGAACAAATAATTTCAAGAAAATTGAGTTCTTAGAAAGTTTTCAAATACCTCAGTGTTTGATTCAAGGACGTGAGCATAGAAACCCTTTTCTTTATGAAGCAGCCTACAACACTACCCCCTTTATGGACAGGGAAGTAGCGAAGCTTCGTGGCAATCTATTACTGCCTCTCCACTCGCAAACTTAGCAGTAGTAAAGACCACCGAAAGGCATGCCCAGACCGCACCCGCCGCCATACAGACTTGCGCCAAACGTGTTCCAGTAGCCCAACGGATAGGCCCAGCCGGGGACACCGCCGCACCTAAATCCGAAGCGGTAGGGCCCAAAGCCACCCCAACCACCCCAGCCTCCCCATCCACCGAATCCCCATCCGCCGAAACCTCCACCGAGGCCTCCACCGAAACCCCATCCGAAGTTCTCCTTATCGTCGTCCTTGTCCTTGCCATTGTCGCTGTCATCCTTGTCACCGTGGTCTTCTTTTGTGATCGTTGCAGCGGCATTGGCAGGAGGCTCGATCTTCTCCGTTTCACCCGTGAGCGCGACGCCATCGGGTAACGCGGACGCTTGAACTTGTTCGAGAGCTTCGGCCGCCGACTTGACCAAAGGCTGGTCCGCAGCGGCGACAGCACCGACGACAGTCATCATGGCGACGAGAAAAGCGTGGAACTTCATGGTTGCGTTGCTGATTCGTTGACTTGGTCGCTGGTTGATTACTTGACTTGCTCTGTAGGAGGCAAATCCAGTTGTGATCAAACGGACCGTAGTGGACGAGCAGGTTCATGAGCTATCTGTTAAGAATCCTATTGCTTGTCATCCGCTGTCGTAGCTCTTCAGTAGAGAAGTCGCCGATTTGTTCTAGTCGAAAGTCTCACCATGATGGAAGTGGCAGTGATTGAACTAGGCTCAACAAGACGTAAACCAGAGCAACGCGGCCTCTGTTCTAGCGTTCATTGCTTACGCTAAAATTCAGACATCCCAAATATGAATTTGAACTCGAGGCTTACAAACGAACCTAGTAATGCCAAAACTGGATGTACATTTAGTATTGGAAGTTTTCTTACGATTGCTGCTTCTGTTTTTTTCTGTTGGAATGATGGATACGCGTGTAGGGCTCGAGAAATATTAATAAAACGATGGCTGGAGCGTAGGCTGGGATAACAATAAATCGACGGTACTTGTATGTCAGTAGGCCGGGTCCTTTGCCCGATCGACAGTCCTATAATGTACATGTATACATGTCATGTATTTAAATATATAAGTTGTAGACCGTTGCATATTGACGCACATGACTGTAAATGCATTAACAATATAGAGGGGAGCCCTAAGCCGAGACGAGAGGTGAGAATCGTTCGTCGGATCTCGTGAGGCGTGGTCTGGCCAGCGGAAAAGATACTCGGCATTGTAAACGATTCCGCCCGACGACGTGTACAAGTGGTTGGCGGCATCAATAACGTCTTCCAAGAAGAGAGCATTCAAATTGTCGATACGCGCATCGCGCCAAGTTTCGGCCGTGTCGCCGCCCTCTCAAACGGCGAGAACGGGACGCTATCTCCCACCAAAGAAAGCAGCCTCAGTAGCCCTGCGTTAAGGCGTTTTGCCTCCGTCGATTCCGGAGGGATGGTTATCGGCCATCCCAGTAATGCAGAAAGTGGTCGACGTAATGTTGGGGAAGAGGCCCGGACGGAAGAGGACGCAAGCCTGTACGAAACAAATCTGGAAAAACACTAGCTAATAGCTTCGCATTTTCGACCCATTCCACAAATGGGGACCTACCGCGTTTTATGGGAATTACCGGCGCCTCATTGTCCTGCCCCGGCCGCGTCTCTCCGATAGTGGCAGCCATAGCATCTATTACCTCGTGAACAACCGCCGGTTCGCTTTGCTCAATATTCGGGAGAACGGCCGACGAGCGAACAATCACTGTGTCGTCCACACCGCTCAAACTTTCATCGCGTACGCCGCTATCACCCTTGGTCTCTTCGTCAATAGCAGATACAACGGCAGACTTAGAAATATGAACACAGGCTTCGACGGAGGAAGCCATCGCCCTCAGAAGCTCCCGCCGCTTGGGAGTATCGACAACCTGAATGCCCTCTTCTCGAAAGACGTTATTGATGCCGCTCAACACAGCCAACCACTTGTACACGCCGTCGGGCAGAATCGTATACAATGCCGAGCATCGTTTCCGCTGACCAGACGACGCCTCACGAGACCCGACGAACGTCACACGAGGCATGCCGCTAGAGTGCACATTTGGTAGTTCCCGGGCAAGTTAAAAAAGTCAATTTGTGGGGAAGCAGATCGCGTGGCCCCTTGAGTGTCTATCGGACAACGAAAGCTCGAACCCGAAGCATCGAGCAGGAGATATGCACCACAGTGCGGCGTCAGTCAAAACCAGAAGCATCGTGATACGCCCATAATCGTGACCAGCCGCGACGCTAAATTTGTTCTTACGTGGATCGCTTTTGCATTTGTGACAAAGAGGATTTTTTTCTCGATCTCGCACCAGCTCGGGTATCAAATAATAGATGTCTTCTCTGAAAAAATAAAGCTGTCGATAACACCGTAATGCCGGCTCCGGTATTTCGTTAAACAATAACTCTCGCTCGGTAGTAGACAAGAGAACAGTATCCAGTTGCGACAGCGATACAAAAAATGGACACCGTCCGAATCTGTTTGCAGCGAAATCCGTCCACACGCCGCACAAGCCCAAACGGAAGTTGCTTCGGACCCGCATGACGCGACTAATTGCTGACACTCAGAAATATCGCGGGGGCCGGATAAGTCGCCGAGCATCGCCGAAACCCGCTCTCGCGCCGCAACCCCGGCTTCCCCGCCAAGATTCTCGTCCCTGAAAACAAAAGACGCAGGGTCGACGCCACAGCAATGATAGTACGCAAGTGCTAGACGTGGATCTCGCAAATAATGCTGGCTCTTAGCGAGCCATTCGATCTCGCTCATAGTCAGGGAGCGGACGTCCAGTACACGCTCGCGTAAGTCTCGCGAGACGTCTCTGTCTGTGTTGTATTCTCGATCACGTTGGCGAGCTCGTCTCTCCCTTTGTTTAGCATTTCTCCTTAAACGTCTTTCCTCGGCGAGACATCGGCTACCAGATATTGCAGCATCTGCACTGTTTTCTTGGCTGCGATGGCGAGCTCGCCTCTCTATTTGCTTAGCGTTTCTCCTCACACGTCTTTCCTCTGCCAATGCCGCGCTGTATTGTCGATCGTGCCGGTGAGCACGCCTCCCCCTCGGCCGAGAAGCCCCGTCTCCGTCGTCAGCACCAACAGACCGTTGATCAGTCGCGCAGTCTCCATGGTCTTCGTGATCCCGCCACGCTCGTCTCCGCTCCATACTCTTTGTCGCATGGGGCTTGCTTGAACCTGCACCGACGCGACTGACTGAAAATGACGACCGTTTTCGCCATCAATCCTTAGGCAGGCATCCATGCTTCCCTCAATTCACGGGATTGACAGCTCTAAGCAGTCACAGGATTGACAGCTCTAAGCAATATTGAGATACCGGTATTCTACCGCAGTCTAAAAACCGGCTTCAGTACCCGGCTTCACATTAATCCGGCTTGGGCTGTCCAGCCTATTCAGGCTATCCCAGTAAAATTCAGACATTCCAAATATGAATTTGAGCTCGAGGCTTACAAACGAACCTAGTAATGCCAAAACTGGATGTACATTTAGTATTGGAAGTTTTTTTTTACGACTGCTGCTCCTGTTTTTTTCTGTTGGAATGTTGGATACGCGTGTAGGGCTCAAGAAATATTAGTAAAATAAACAAATTATAGAGAGTTTAAAAATCCCATGCTCTCCGTAAAATATGACACAGTACAATAGTAATGAGCTGCTTTGGATTTACAACTGTGTG